CTGAGGAGATATAGAAAAGATTAATATTGACCTTAGGTAAGAACTATGTGTCTGAGAAGATTAGAGTTAGAGAGGAGTGAGACAATAATGAAAGCAAGGTCAGAAAGACTCAGCCTGTGAGTGATGAACGTAAGGACTGGATAGTGGCGGTATATTTGGGGAGATAGAGACAATACTGGACCTAGGTCAGAACAATACTATGTCGGACGAGATCAAAGAAGAGAGAGACAATATTAATGGACGCTAGGTTAGAAGGGACGTAAGGGGGGGGGGGGGTAATGGCGATATATCTAGGGAGATAGAGAAAAAATTAATGACCTTAGGTATGAACTATATTATGTCTGAGGAGATTAGAGTTAGAGAGGAGTGAGACAATAATGAACGTAAGGTAAGAACGAAACAGTCTGTGAGTCAGGAACATTACAAATGGGTGGCAGCCGTATACCTGAGGAGTTCAAACAAAAATGGGCCGTAAGTCAGAACTATAATATGTCCTGTGAGTCAGAAACGTAGGGGATGGATGATGCAATGGCGATATGTATGGGGCGATCATAGAGTTATCTCCTTTTTTAAAATATCGTAGAGCAAAGACATTGGCAAATATATTGAATATAACAGAAAAAAAGAAACAAACGATATATAACTTATTATATATATGTATATATATATATATACATCATATATATATATATATATATATTCATAACACAAGGACAAAATCAAACATAATATTCTATTTTACCATATCCCTATTCCCTCTGTCGCTACCCATAAGTCAGGAGCCACTGAAATCGAACCCAGGTGGCTTTCCTGATAGACATGCGCACTAACAACCTGGCCAGCTATATTGGCACGGGGTAAGGCGCGCTGTATCGCCGCGGCTGATGTGTTCTTGCTGAGTCATAGTTTCTGGGAAAGTTCTACAGTACCAAAACGGTACCATACACCGTGTCAGAACCAAAGGTCATAAGATAAGCCAATTAACTATTCGTCATGGTCATTACTAATTGCCTCAATTTTTTTTTCTTCCCACGTTTCTAGTTATTGGTAGGGCATGCATGACGTCAGTAATTTGGTTTCTATCTCAATATTTCAGAGTTTATTATTCATTAAAAAAAACCATAACAAAAATATATGATTAAGACTATACAATCCCAACAACCTACGAAAGGTATTATCTGTGTCTCAGAGTGTTAACTTTAGAGATTTCATCCTTCCGTATCGATTAACGGAAATAGGTGAGTTCAACATCAGGTCAAAAACTGGGTTACAAAACAAAAAAAACGATACAACCCCCTTCCTCAACCCACCTCCCTCCCCAACTTCAGTTCGGAAACTGGATTACAAAATAAGAATATAAACCCCTCCCTCCCCACCTCCCCCAAAAATAATCCATCCCTCTCTACACAGCCCCCAGATATCTCGTGTCTCTGTCACAGCCCCGCCCACTCGAGCCCACACATCAACGTCCGTGATATCACTCACTCTGTCTCCCCCTCGTGTGTATCAAGTCGATATTTCCTGAAACTTAAGAGTGCTCCCTTATTTATCTATGACGGCAGCTGTGCTTGCCTTGGGTATAAATGACGAAATGTTTGAGCCTGTAGTCCGATCTGAGATTTTGGGTACACTTTGTTTTGTCATGATTTCTGTTGACACAAGCATATCGCTCACAGACAGACACTCTTACCGGGAACCCCGTAAAGCCGGAGTCGTGAGGTGTAGAGTGTTTGGAGTAAGTAGTAGGGAAAACAGAATTTTTGGTATGAGAGTGTGAGAGAAAGAGAGAAAGAGTGACGGAGAAAGAGAGAGAGATGGGGGGAGGGTGAGAGAGAGAAAGAAGAAAGAGAGAGAGAGAGAGAGGGTGAGAGAGAGTTGATGTGGGGGAGGCACAGGAAAGAGAGAAAGAAAGAGGAAGAGAGAGAGAGAGAGACAGAGGGAGAGAGAGAGCGAGAGAGAGAGAGAGAGAGAGACGGGATGAGGAATACTCATACTGCAAGCAATATTTTTAAACGTTGAACTGAAAGAAAAGGGAGCCAAAAAATGACAGTGCACATGAAAAGGTCAAAGCACACATTGCCTTTTGGCGTTGTGTACAAGATCCATTTTCTCTGACTGTGATTATGAACTAATCATGCAACTTTTATGTTACTTGATTCCGGACACCCTCGATATCAGACCACGGAAGAGCACAATGTTTGTCCGAAATAAATTCTTAACAAAGAAACCATTTGAATGAATAAATTACCCGTGTAACCGTCGACTAATTGAAAGGAAAAGAATTCAGTACTTTTCTTTGTGGCAGTAATTGCGTGATTCAGTTCCTAAATTGATTCTTTGTCTATCACTATAAATGAGTATGTCACACTAATTTTATCTAAAATAAGACACCACGGCGAAATTATCAGTCGCTGCGTAATACAAATTTTAGCGTTTACGTACGAACAGACATCTGCACCATGATACCCTACTGCGAGTGCACTGCTTAAACAACTGTACGTTTGTATGAGTACAGAGAAACTTATCGGCACGATAATGGCCACGTAGTACTGAGAAAAAAAGTAGAAGACAAGCACGCTGTAACCTTGGAAGGAAAGTAAAAAAGGGAGACTCTGTTCGTGGATTCTTCCTAGCAGCCACGACAAAAAATACTTTTAAAAATCCGTTTTCTTGAATTTGAAGCCATTTAATGCTTTCAAAGTCATTGAAACGAAGAAAAAAAAAAAGAATCATCCTGAAGCACCACCATATTTCGCACTTGCTTCAACCTAGAACCCCGAGAAGAAAGGACAGAAATAGAAGATGAAACCTTGACAATAAATTACTCAATTTGAATTGGGGGCCTTTTTCTGAACAATTTATGTGATTGGTCCTTTTTTTGTTGTTGGTCTTTTTGTGGTCTTTTTCTGTTGGTCTATGTCACGTCTGTGTCAGGTCGTGAGGCAGAAAAACCGACGATTCTGTTCCCAATTTCAACGGTAATAGTGTCGGTTAGCTTTGCCATTTCAAGAAACCTGTCAAGTAGAAAACGATTAGGTGCGAAGACGAAGCCGTTAGGGAATTCTGGACGTCTCAATTCTTTTTTGTATTTTTCACTGCTAAGAAATTTAGCGGAAATGGCCGAGGTGATGACTTTCCTAAACTGGATGGCTTGACTTTTGAGTTGTCTGAAGTGCTGAAGAATAATATAATGACTCTTTAATTGACAATTATCCCACCCATTAAACCCAAGAACGTGTCGCTCTTTTCCTTTAGATTATTCGGAGTGATAACGACCCTTGATTTGATAAGAATCCAAACGATGCAGTAATACATTGAATATATTGATAATAATTATAATAAAATAAGGATGGTAATGGTAATAATCATAATAACAAGTCATTAGATACTTGTTGAACCTAGCACTACTTTCTTTACAAGATAATACTTCATCGATTGCCCTTGGAAAAAGTTACGTTTTACTTTTTTTTTCCACATCAAACACTTAATTTGCTTTTATAATTTTGTTCTTTGGACTAATAATAAACAACACTATGTTTTTATTCTTTTTTTTATGGTGCGAAGCTTAAAGGAGACATTTTTGGTCCCAATTTATGTCCTCTTCCTCTGCTTTTTCTGTCTGTGACTCCTCCCCCCCCCCCCGCCCCCTTTAGGACTGTTACCCTGTCATTGTGCGTTTCTTAAATTCGCCTATTTTCTTTCACAAGCTTGCATTTTTTTGTCATGCTAATTTTTAGAGAAACGTCAGATCGGAGATGATGAACAGAAGAGTTAAGAATTATAATAAATTATTAATAATAGAAATCAGGCAGACGACAAGGGTAGGGATGTGGGCCAAATCCAAGTTGTTGTTTTTTTTAAAACACAACAGCTTGATATACCGAGAACACACACAATATATTACGTGTTTTCTCATGTTATTGGAAAATCAGTTTGAGCGAAACACATCAAGCCGATCTTAATGTTTTTACAGGCTTGAAAGTTATTCAAGCTTCAATTTTTTGTGTATTTTTCAAAAAGAACACGTTAACGAATGAAATATTGCATGATTTTTTAATCAGGCCTTTTTTGATAACACACACACACAGACACACACATAGACACACACACACACACACACACACACACACACAAACATGCACACATACAAACACACGCACACATCCACACACACACACACACACACACACACATACAAACACACACCACATTTCACACACACAACAGAACAGAACACAACACAACACACATATACACATACACAAGTACATACATGTACATGACGTACATAATATGCTCATCTATAATAATGTAAAAGTAAACAAAATTTTAATGCAACATGTGTGCACACATATACTTATTCAAACTAATCGAGAGACATAGATAAGGAGGGGGGAGGGGGGAGGGGGGAGGGGAGAGAGATAAAGGAGAAAAAAAGGAGATAGAGAGAGAGAGAGAGAGAATGGGAGAGAGACAGAGAGAAAGAAAGAGACAGAGAGACAGAAAAAAGAAAGGCACGAAAACTTGTTCCACCCCCACTTGTACAGCAATCAGACAAGATATTATTATATTTACCAATATCACCACATGATCAATCTCTATTCGGAAAAATGTGCATGGACTCTGTTCCCTCTTGCACGGTGCATCTTCATAAACCCCTCAATAGATGACATGGTTCCAGTGATGGATGCACACACAAACACACTTCACTTTCCAATAATCCCCCCAAATTACAGCCTTTCCAATAACAGTGAGGGAAGGAAATTTGGTACCCCAAGCTCGTAATTATGAAAAATAATGATGATGATGATGATGATGATAACGATGAGGATGAATGATAATAATAATAACAATAATAATAATAATAATAATAATAATAATAATAATAATAATAATAATAATAACAATACAAATAATAGAATAATGGTAATATTAATAAAGATGATAATAATAATAATGATAATAATAATAATAATAATAATAATAATAATAATAATAAT